GCAGAATTCTACCAGAACTTCCAAGAAGAGCTAATACCTATTCTCCTTAATGTATTTCACAATATAGAAACAGAAAAGTCATTGCCAAATTCCTTCTATGAAGCTACAGTTACCCTGATACCAAAACCACACAAAGACCCAACCAAGAAAGAGAAATACAGGCCTATCTCACTAATTATTTTGTTTTGTTTAATTTTATTTTATTTATTAATTTCATTTTACAGTCCACCCACAGTTCTCCCCCATCTATCTGCCCCCTCAGTCCATCCCCTACCCACTCCTCTCACGGAGTAGGGGCTCCCATGGGCTAAAGTCGCTTTCAATAAGAAATTCACTTTTAGGGGAGGAGATGTAGTTTAGCAGTTAAGAGCCTAGCATTTCTGTTCCTTCAGAGAGTCCATTTGGTTTCCAGCTCTAATAATGTGTGGCTCACAACTGCCTATCACTTCATCTTCATGGGCTGTGACACCTTATCCTGCACTACAGGCAGCTACATTGGCAATTCTAGAGTCCTACGCATAGAAACACATAAAAAATATTATTTTTTGAATATGTAAAATTTAGATGAACTTAAATGTATTTTAAAATTTATTCTAAAAATTAAAATTAGCTTAAGAAAAGAATACACCTTTTCAACTAGAATAAAATATCAAACCATGACTTATAGGAGTATAATGATATCAATGAGATGGACATGCTATGGATGGGTGCCTTAGATTTCCATCTGGAAAGAGCTACTCTTAGATTCTCTGAGGATCAGAGTTGAAAGAGAGTGGAACAAACACATTTCTGTAGGAGGTGACATGTAATGGATTAGTTAGTTCTAAATTAGTTGGTATTAGTCTACTTATTATTAAAGGCTACATCAGTTAGAAAGGAAACGAAGGAAATGTCAGATATTTCTGACATTAAGAAACTTAGAAATGGAACAAAGAACATGCATCATAGCAGGAAAGCCATGGCTTTCCATAAAGAATATCTGTGTTCGTATCCTTTCTTCTTGGCTTCGTGATGGACAATACATGTGCTCAGGCATCCTATAACTCACAGCACACAACCTTTATTTCAAATGATCTTTTCCCTATCTTCTCTAGAAGACCTAACTTCTTGTGAGGAAGAACAAAAAAAAATTCTTAGACATCTATCTTAATGCTTACATTGTCTCATTATTGAAGAACTATGTTTACTCACTGTAATACACCATTTAAATTTCCATGGCATCAATGCCTAAAGAAAAATCTATGTTTCTTTTACAAATAAACATCAATTTACTTACTATTTTAGTGTGAGTTTTAATGATATCTTAGCTTGTAAAAATATTCTATTTTAATCCATAATTAATAACTTTACTACACCCAAAGGAAAATCATATAAAAATACCTTTGCATAAAACAGTAGCAAGTTTGATGGTGGCATTACATGTAGAATTTTCAGAGAAATATAAAATACATTTTAAAATTGATGCCTTTTTGTGAAAGTATGGTGGAAAGCTATCACAAGGGACCATTTGGCCTCGAGATACCTTCTTATCTCTGATCAAGAAAAGTTGGATCCCTGGCCAAGGGGACTGAAGATAAGGTCTTGTGAAATGCTATACTCTGAGCTAGGAATCTGTTTGTTTTGAAATTAATCACACGGTGTTTGAACAGTATCACCTTCAAAATCTAAATGAAGCTGTTAATGAAGATTATTAAAATATGGTTCTTGTCTGATGACACATTTAAAATATAAAAAACAGTTGATTGTATTAATTAGCAAACTTTAATATATGTACGACAATCAGCCAAAATACTGAAGGAACTACATAGAAATAGTTGATTCATAAAAAGTCCTTACTCCTATTCCTCCCAAAGGTGCTTTGAATTAGCATTTACCATGATTGAATAAACACCCTCAAAGGATATCACAACAAATTCCTGGTAGAAAATGCACAGATGTTTATTAACTATGGACATATTTAGTGAAATTTTAACAATTCAGGCTTTAAAGCAAAAGTAGATGACACATTATTTTTATATTATTAATGTGATTTTGTAAAATATCATTTTAATTATCATTTCTGAATCAACAATTCCTCTCACATGATAAATAATACAGAAACATAAAAATCAATATTCCTTGTCATACAACATTTTACCTTCTAAACAATATTCCTGTTTTGATCAGTCTGCTTACAAACCTGTATCATATCATGATTAGTCATAGAGACAGCTAATTCTTTCATAGTGTTAGCTGAATGATAAAGGAAATATTTTGTCAAATAGACAAAATTTATTTCAATAATTCATATTTTATTTACATATATAATGTGACTTATTAAGACTAAGTATCTTAAAAGAACTACACTAAATAGCTTAGCTTACCATATTAAATAAATGTACCGACATTTATCTTTTGAATCAATTAAAGTTTAGCTATTATACATGATTTATAACAATGAAACATGATTATTTCAATATTTTTGTAGTTTTATTTAAAATCTCATAAGGTGAATTTGAACTTAGAATCTTCTATTTAGAATTTGAAATTTGATGCTTCATGCAACAAATTTGTTAAATTAGTATTTCAATGCTCATGCTCCATTTGACTGAATATGTCTTTTTAGAGGAGAGGGAAGACTTTAGCAGAAAGCATTTTCTTTACAAAATCATCTCAAGACATTAAAAAGATCATATAAGGTGGAGGAGATCTGAGTTTTACTTCCTGATTTTCAAAATTCAGCTGTTTAAGAAAATGGGCACCAGAAACATGAAGGAAATGTCTACCTGGAATATGGTTTGATTGTAATAGTTATTCATAGGCTATGAAGTGAATAAATAATTGAGAGGCAATATAGAGAAAATAATATTTAAGATACTCATTACATATATCTGATGTCAGAGTCTCCTCTGTATGCTGTGGATACCATTGGTGAATAAAGAAATTGCTTTGGCCTGTTGATAAGGCAGAACTTATGTAGGCAGGAAAAACTAAACAGAATGCTGGGAGAAAGAAGGGCAGAGTCAAAAAGAAGTCATGTAGCACTGCCAGAGACATAAGCTGGAGCTTTAGTTGATAAACCACGGCCACGTGGTGATACACAGGTTAATGGAGATGGGGTAAATTAAAATATAAGAGTTAGCCAATAGTAAGCTAGAGCTATTGGGCCAAGCAGTGATTTAATTAATACAGTTTCTGTATGATTATTTTGGGGCTAAGCATCTTGGAACCAATGAGCCACCCTCTCTTACAACATATATCATTATAAAACAATTATTTTAAGAGAGTAAAAACATAATGAACATTATTCTAATTAAAACAATGGCGTCGGGGCTGGAGAGATGGCTCAGTAGTTAA